GTCCTCTTTCCATGGGGGAGAGAATTGATCTCTGTGTGTATCCGGAGTTCATTTACATGCCTAGAGAGAAGATAAGGTGGGTGAGGTAATATCTTTTATTTTACCAATTTCTGTTGCTGAGAGAGAGATAAGAACATAAGAGCGGCCATACTGGGTCAGACCAATGGTTCATCTAGCCCAGTATCCTGTTTTCTGACAGTGACCAATACCAGGTACCCCAGAGGGATTGAACAGAACAGGTAATCATCAAGTGATCTATCCCCTGTCGCCCATTCCCATTTTCTAGCAAACAGAGGCTAGGGGCACCATCCCTGCCCATACTGGCTAATAGCCATTGATGAACTTATCCTCCATGAATGTATCTAGTTCTTTTTTGAACCCTGTTACAGTCTTGGCCTTCACAACATCCTCTGGCAAGGAGTTCCACAAGTTGACTGTGCGATCTGTGAAAAAATACTTCCTTTTGTTTGTTTTAAACTTGCTGCCTATTAATTTAATTTGGTGACCCCTAGTTCTTGTGTTATGAGAAAGAGTAAATAACACTTCCTTATTTACTTTCTCCAAACCAGTCATGATTTTACAGAATGCTATCATATTCCCCCTTAGTCGTCTCTTTTCCAAGCTGAAAAGTCCCAGTCTTATTAATCTCTCCTCATATGGCAGATGCTCCATATCCCTAATCATTTGTATTGCCTTTTTCTGAACCTTTTCTAAGTCCAATATATCGTTTTTGAGATGGAGCAACCACATCTGTACTCAGTATTCAGGATGTGGGCATACCATAGATTTATCTGTCTTATTAGCTATTCCTTTCTTAATGATTCCCAGCATTCTGTTAACTTTTTTTGACTGCTGTTGCACATTGAGTGGAAGTTTTCAGAGAACTATCCACAATGACTCCAAGATCTCTTTCTTGAGTGGTAACAGCTAATTTAGACTCCACCATTTTATATGTATAGTTGGGATTATGTTTTCCAATGTGCAATACGTTGCATTTATCAACATTGAACTCCATCTGCCATTTTGACTTCACTATCTTGAGATAGTATCATTTGCACATTTTGCCACCTCACTGTTGTCCAGATCATTTATGAATATGTTAAACAGGACTTGTCTCATTACAGACCCCTGGGGGACACCACTATTTACCTTTCTCCATTCTGAAAACTGACCATTTATTCATACCCTTTGTTTTCTATCTTTTAGCCAGATACCAATCCATGAGAGGACCTTCCCTCTTATCCCATGACTGCTTACTTTGCTTAATAGCCTTTGGTGAGGGACCTTGTCGAAGGCTTTCTGAAAATATAAATACACTATATCGGGTTGGCAACTTTCAGCACGCGGCCCATTGGGGTAATCCACTGGCGGGCTGCGAGACATTTTGTTTACATTGACGATCCGCAGGCATGGCCACCCGCAGCTCCCAGTGGTTGCAGTTCACCTTTCCTGGCCAATGGGAGCTGCAGGAAGCAGCGCAGGCTGCAGGGACGTGCTGGCCTCTGCTTCCTATACAAAATTTGGGGTAACAAATTGGCATCCCTGGGTGAGCATTGTGCTCAAAAGTGCTAAGATCTCCACACTGGGCTCAAAGGTGCTATTAAAACCATAAGGCTGAAGGCATTATTTTGAGGCCCAAAGAGAGTTTATAGCACTCCTTATTGGATAAAAGGAGAATAGACAACAAGCAGGTTTTTTTCCTTTTTTTTTCATCCTCTTTCTCTTCTCTTGTTTATTTTAATTTTCTTTATTCTTTCTTTTTACTGATCTTTTCTATGAGTTCAAAAAAAGGTAAGTTACCTCAAAGGTAGAACATAAATGTAGGTAATTATGGTAAATAAAATATTTTGTTCATAAGATGTCAAAAGTAATTGCTGTAGAGTATATAATCCTGAAACTATGGTGAAACTAAGTGCTTTCCTTTTCTGAGGAACAGGAAGGTATAATTTGTTTGTGCTTTCCTATTCTGAGGGATAGGAAAGTAGAGTTTTCCTGCTCTGAGGCATAGAAAAGTAAAGTTTCTCCTTGCTTCCCAGTTCTGAGGGATCAGGAAGTAGGAACTTTTGTTTTATTTTTGTTTTACTTTCCTGTTCTGAGGGATTGGGAAGTAAAAAGTGAGTATAAATCACAGAAAATGCTGTCTATTGGGATTGGATATTTGTAATGGCCTTACTGACGTATCAGTATTTTTATTACAAGGTGATTCTAGATAGTGAAAAAGGGTAACATCTAGAATCAATAATGTCGAAATGATCATGAAAGGAAACTGAGGCACAATGATCATTCAGAAATGATGTTGGAAAACAGCATTGAGAATTTTGTAAAGAAAATTGGATGGGGCTTTGGAAAGAAATATATTTTTATTGGGCCTGGAGCCTATCAACAATTATGCAAGCAATGGAAACAATGGATCCAACCAAAGAAGAAAGTCTTGCTCTCAACGGAACTACAAAAAGGAAAAGAAACAAGTTGCCTTGCAAGGACTCCTGTTTACAACTACAACTCTAGATATAGAAATGAATAAAGCATTAAAGGAACTAAGAGAACTAAGAAAAGAGAAAGCTAATCTAAGAGCAGAAGCTGACACATTGAGAACCAGTATTCTGATTCAATCACTTCAGATGGTTGAGCCAAAAAAGCAACTAAGGGTAGGTCTACACTACCCGCCTGAATCGGCGGGTAGAAATCGACCTCTCGGGGATCGATTTATCGATCCCCGAATCAACGCTCTTACTCCACCACCGGAGGTGGGAGTAAGCGCCGTCGACAGAAAGCCGCAGAAGTCGATTTTGCCGCCGTCCTCACAGCGGGGTAAGTCGGCTGCGATACGTCGAATTCAGCTACGCTATTCACGTAGCTGAATTTGCGTATCTTAAATCGACTCCCCCCTGTAGTGTAGATGTACCCTAAGTAAAATAAAAGAGGAGTGGGAGAAGCTAACAGTAGAATGTAGAGAATGGAAACAGAAGGCAATTAATAGACAATCTGCAATGAAATTGATTGTCTCAGATGTGAAAAAGGAGAGAAAGTTAAATCATGAAGCATGTAGAAGGAATATTCACACATTAGAGGAAGAATTGAAAACTAACCAGGGAGCCATAGCAACCATTAAATCGCTATGTGATGAAAAGGCGGAATCAGATGCAGAAGACATGGGTCCTCCTTGTATCCCAAGGAATCCATTCCAGAATTTTATAGTATACCAAGAGAAGAGCCAGAAGAATATCAAAGGGCACCTCCTGTAGTTCCAATTATTACCTCCATAGTAACCAAAACTTCCACACAAGGACACAAAGAAGTACAGAAGAAAGGGTAGAGGAAAGACCCTATACCCCTGAACAAATTAGAGCTCTTGAAAAATCCATGGGTCCTTTGAACAGAAACACAGTGATCAGATGGTTAGCTAAGACAACAGGGATACCTCGATTAACAGGAAGTGATCTCTCTACATTAATAAAAGCATGCATGAATTCAGATGAATTTGCTGGACTTCCTTATGACATCCAGGGAGGAGGAGAAGGTGATACTGATTTATGAGGAAGAGGAATTTTGAAGTTTTTCTTTCCTGGAGAAGATCCAGTGGTATGGTTTCATGAGGAGAAGCAAAAACCAAAAGAAAGACCTGAACCATATATGCAAGGAAGAAATTATTCTATAAACATGTGGGAATCATTCCACTGGGATATCAAATATTATATGATTCCCCACAGTTTAAAAGAGCATTAATGCTAGACTTTGGTCCAACCATCAGAATGGCAATGGTCTCTGATGATCCTGCACAAACACCTCTGCATATTATAGAAGATAAAGTAAGAAGACAGTGTGAAATACAGAGGTATACCATGCCACCTTCAAAACCACCTCAGAAAGGAAAACTTTTACAAGTATCAGTAATAATTTTCTCTAATAATGGTCCCAAAGAACAGGGAAATCAGCGGAACCAACGAAACAAAGAAGGGTTAAACCAAGAAGAGGATGGGAACAAAAAAATTGTTCCTTATGAAAGCAAAGGTGATGCAGGACGAAATTGGCTATGGAGAAGATTGCTGCAGTATGAACCTTACAAACAAATCAATGGGTTATTTACAGAAGAACTATTTTGAAGATTGGCGGACCATGAGAATACTGCGTCTATGGCTCCATCACACCGTAGAAATCAGGAATAGGGAGGCCAAGCACCCTCTAACTCCCCGATATTGGCAAAAGAAGATCATATTAATTTAGTGGCACATTTACAAACAGATGACTGGGGGAGACCCACTGTATATGTGGAATTTAATAAGGGAGTGTTCAGACAAAATATGTTGATAGACACCGGGGCCACATTTTCTTTAGTTAGCACAAAGAATAAGGATTTATCTGGACCTCCTGTAACATCGGTTATTAAAAAAAGGAAATAATTGGGAATGGGGAGAACAGCAGGAAGCTTTTATACAACTTAAGAAAACATTAGTAAAAGCCCCAGCTTAAGCATACCCAAAAGTAGAACAATCTTTTGTGCTTCAATTGGCTACTACTAGTACTGGAATGACTGCTGTACTGAGTCAAGACCATGGTACAGGTCTTCAACCAGTGGCATATGCCTCTAAGGTTCTGAATGGAGTAGAACAAGGATTTACTCCTGTGAAAAAGAGATATTAGCCTTGGTTTGGGCTCCACAACATTGAGAGTATTTAGTAGGACTATCGCCAGTGCTTCTTAATACATCCCATTCTCCTGCAAAATATGTCTTATCAGGAAGAATTAATGATGGACATGTATCTAGTCCTAGATTAGCCTTACTGAATAAAAATGTAACAATGGAAAAAGTTCCAAGTCTATCACCAGTTCCTTATGGCCTCATAATTGAAGGGGAACAACATGAATGTCCCTTACCAGAGATTCCTCCTGAAGGACCTATATTATTCCAGGGTGGAGCAATTCTAAGTGAGATCATGGATAGAGTAGATGTAATTTGGTTTGTGGATGGGTCGAGCTTTTACGAGGAAGGCAAGGCATAAATGGGATATGCAGCTGTAAGGATATCTGATGAAAAGGTCTTCAAGGGACAATGTTTACCTCATTCGGCACAGGCTCCTGAAATTGTAGTTGTAACAGTAGCATTGGAAAATATGCCAACAGATGAAACTGAGTCTATTTTCACAGATTCTGAATGGGTCTTACGGGCTATCATAGATTGGATGCCTCAATGGCAAAAGAGGGGCATGAAATCAGCAGATAGTAAATACATTGCTCATGCTGAAAAGTTGGTAATAGTGGATCCTTTTACTAAATGGGTGGGAGGCAATCCCCACAAGAAATAATACAGTGTTAACTACAGCTAGAGTTCTGGTGGATCAAGTTATGATGAGATGGGGTGGGGTATCCCTAAAGCAGGGGTCGGTAACCTTTCAGCAGTGGTGTGCCAAGTCTTCATGTATACACTCTAATTTAAGGCTTCGTGTGCCAGTAATACATTTTAACGTTTTTTAGGTCTCTCTCTATAAGTCTATAATATATAACCAAACTACTGTTATATGTAAAGTAAACAAGGTTTTCAAAATGTTTCAGAAGCTTTATTTAAAATTAAATTAGAATGCAGATCTTATCCGTTTAATGTGATCCTTGCCCTTGCTTTTCCTTGCTGAGTTTTCCAGTGTCTGATACGTATTTGGATACTTTAAGCTGCACACAGACTTCTGAGTGATCACTTGTTAACTGGCTCCGAGAGGGACAGAGGACAGATTTCATGTGTGAAAATACCTGTTCACACAGGTATGTGGATCCAAATGCTGAAAGCATTCAAATGCAATTTTCTTCAAACAGGTAAATTTCACTAGCAAGGACGTCCAGCAGGTCAGAATAGAGCCCCCATGATCTCTCTCGGTAGCTTCAAGTGTGCTCCGCAGATGCACCAACTTTGATGTCCACAATTCTGAGCTTTTTAACTGAATGAGTTGCATTTTGAAATTTTCAACATCCATCCACTGAAATACAGACAAATCCAGTGGGCTGTAGTACACGAAAGCTTATGCTCTAATAAATTTGTTAGTCTCTAAGGTGCCACAAGTACTCCTAGTTCTTCTTTTTTTAGACAAATCCAAGTCATTTTCATTGAACTTTTCAGATTTAATTAGAAAAGAAAGCATTGGACCAAATTGCTGGAAATCTTGAAATCTGTCAGAAAATTCTGATTCCAGTTCTTGCATGTACTTTCCAATCTCATCGACATTGACAGTGCAACGTGTCAATAGCTCTTTTATGAGTTGGAAGTAGCGGAAAGTAGAAGTTTGAATATCCCTGGAAAAAACTGCTAGTTTCACAACAAATGCTTTCCAGGCTTCATAAAGTTCCAGAACTGTTTGCCCTGCACCCTGGAGACAGAGGTTGAGTTTGTTTAGGTGAGTAGTGATATCAGTTAGAAACATGAGCTTACACAGCCTTTTGTCATCATCCAGTTCAGGGTAGTTTTGTTGTTCTTCCGTCAAAAAGGCCTTGATTGCATCAAAATAGATTACAAAGCACACCAAAACCTTGCCACGACTTAGCCACTGAATGTGAAGTCGGATATCGTTATAAGCACTGTCCATCTCTTCTAGCAGATATGGTTATGTATAAACACATAAAAGAAAAAGGCCATGTCCTAAGCTCTATTTGGGAAAGACCGGTTAGAATAGTCAATAAAGCAATCCCTACAGTGTATCAATTTGGATATTCAACAAGGAAAAAGAAAGGTGTCAAAATGGTTTCACTCATCACAGTTGAAAAAGTGCAAGGGAGGACAAAATTAATTAATATCTCTATTATAGGATCAGAAAAAGATAAGATAGGAAAAATGCAGGAAGAAGGAGTATTGAATGAGATGTGGGATGAAGGAGATTGGTACCTATTGGTACCCATCTACCCAGCTTCCTCTACCTGGACAGAACTAGAGTTAGATGAATTCCTGGAAAATTTGCCTGTTCTTCAACAGCTAGTCAGAGTTCAAGGGTGGAGCAATCATCCCAAATAGAAGTTATACTTTATCAAACAGAAGGACAACCCTTGAAAGTTGTAACTTCATTAGGAAAGGATCAATGTAGGAGACCAATAGCCCTGATGATATTAGAGGGAGAAAAAATATGGCAGATGGGTTATCTAGACACAGGATCTTCATATTCCATGTTGAACAACATAAATAACCCCTCATATTTCTTACCCTATATTTCCTCAGATGTATCTGAAGTGTGAGGAATATTGGGAATAAAAAGAGAAGTTCCTGTAACAATTCCATTGAAAGTGAATATAGGGAATAAAGAAATGCAGAATATACATTTTGGAGTTGGGACAGAATGGACTCGGAATAATAGGCATGGACATCCTTAATGCTTTACAAAGTACAATAGATTTAGATTTAAAATATCCTGTGGGCCAGGTGAAAAGAATATTGTCAATAAAATAGATGTATATATGAGTAAAGTAGTGAGTTGTTTTTATTATTTTTATTTGCTAGAGAAAAAAAAGGAAGAATAGAATAGATAATTAAAATGGCAGCTTGGTTTGAGGAAATCCCGAATATGGAGGAGGATGAAATGAGAGATTTAATGGATGAAGCAATAAGAGATTTATTGAATGTAGATGTGCCAATAGATGAATTTATAAGACTAGATGCAGCAGTGGATGAAAGAGATACAGATGAAGAAAGTGGGATTGAGGAAGAGGAAGAAAGAGCTCCCCGTCTAATTGTGTCCCAGATATATTTAGATCAATACATGAGACCGATGGTTCCAATCCAAATTATTGAGGCAGAAATTGAAACTTTCTGCTATATGGATACTGGGTCATTGGTTCTGATAATAAATACAGCAATAAATGTGGCTATTACACAATATATGTCAGGGGATACGTACACACTTACGGGACTATTGGGAAAACAAATATTTATTCCCTTAAGTATTCCTCTATCTATTGACATAGGTATTCAGTGAATAGATATGTATGATTTGGTTAGCGAATATGGGAGTCGGTAATAGAGGACTCATTGGTATAGATATTATAAAAAGGTTAAATTGTATGATAGATATAAAAGCAAAAGTACTATGGAAAGTTGAATAGGACAATAAGAAGCAAAAATAAAAAAGGTATAATATAAAAGATCAAATATTGATAGATAAATATCAAGTGTAGTAATAAGAATCGTTATAAGTATAGAATAGAAAATAAGTGTAATAATAAGATTAACAATACTAATAGTGTAGAAATAAGTTATACTAATAGTAAATATCAGAATAAGTTGAATTAACAGTAAGATAATAAATTAGTAATAGTAAAGTGACAATATTTGAATCTTAAATAAATAGGGAAAGAAAGAAAGATAGTCAGAAAGGAGAACATCAAGTCAAGAATAGAAAGAGATAACAAATGGCAGGAGAGTGGTTTTGTGATTTACCAGATTTAAATGAAAATGAAATGATGGACTTAATAAACATGCCTGAGAAAGAATTAGAAGAGATAATCAAGGATTTAGAAGGCATAGACAACATAGAGGAAGACAGTAACAAATCCCAGTCCACAGATAGAGCCATAGAGGAAACAACTGAGGATGTGGAAGAAGCAGCTCACCTGTTAATGATAACCCAATGAATAATAGTCCCTCAAGAGAGAGAGACCTTCGGTCCCGGTACTGCTAAACAACCTAGGGGTTAGAGTAGGGATACTCTGCCACATCGATACAGGGTCGTCAATGTCTATACTAAATATAGACTTGAATGTAGATCTTGGCCCCTACCAATCAGGAGATACAATGCTGCTTAATGGGGTAGGGGGACAAATCCCCATCCATATTAGCCAGACCATGTCTATCAGCATAGGGAATCGGCTGATTTTGACTCGCTTTGGATTAATGCATAGGGGCATGGGAGGATATGGAATTATTGAAGTAGACCAGGGGTCAGCAACCTTTCAGAAGTGGTGTGCTGAGTCTTCATTTATTCACTCTAATTTAAGGTTTCGTGTGCCAGTAATACATTTTAATGTTTTTAGAAGGTCTCTTTCTATAAGTCTATAATATATAAGTAAATTGTTGTATGTAAAACATTTTAAAAACCTTATTTACATAAGAAGCTTCATTTAAAATTAAATTAAAATGCAGAGCCCCCCAGACTGGTGGCCAGGACCCAGGCAGTGTGAGTGCCACTGAAAATCAGCTCGCGTGCTGTCTTTGGCACGCGTGCCATAGGTTGCCTACCCCTGAAGTAGATGTTATCAGAATTTTAAATTTTCTCATAGATTTGAATCATCAAGTCTTATGGACCACAGAATAATTGTATTGAATGTGTTTTATTAAAGATTTAAATATTAAAATAACTTATTGTTCAGAATTAGAATAATATTGTTGGGTTATTGTTAATATAGGGTGTGTTGATTTTTTAAACAATATATTGTAGGAAGTGATTTAGGGAAACTTAATATTATTAAAAGCTTTTGTTAAAATAAATTATTAAATTTTTTTGAAAAGAACAGAGTCTCTCATTCTTTATATCTTTCAGAAGGGGAACCCAAATGGTAGAAGATGTGGTTCTATTCATCTTGGCTCTTCTGGGTATTCTACTGTGGTGGTGTGAATTCAGACACAACACCAATGATCCAATGGGCCAAGTCTCATCCCAGTGATAAGGTCTTGGCTATTAATATAGAGGAATGTGTTTTCACAATTCCTAAATTAAGAAATACGGTAACAAAAATAGTAATGGGACCTGTTCGAATTATAGAGTTTATGGCACAAAATTATATGGGTAAGGTACTCATCACAGATGATGCCCACAAATTTAGCATTCTATTCAGAGATCAAGAAAATGCAATATTGATGTGGCAAAGGTCTGATGAGAAATCACCACAACCTTCAAATTGTACATGGAAATTGGAGGAAGGAATAGGAACCATATGTGGTAAATTAGTTAGGGTTGGGCCATGGCAGTGTACACTACTAGGAGGATTAAAAACAATTGCACACTCACCAAATGTATTAGTAAGTACAGAAGAGAGGATGGATTCAGGTATAGAACCCACAATTAAACCCCAGAAGAGAGTTATGAAAAGAACAATGAAGGCAAACACAAAAACAGTGGATCAAACTGAATCCAGCAACTATTGTTAACAGTATTCAATAGTGCGAGTTCACAATTTGAAAGAATGATAGGGCAAAAGCAATAACCATTATCATGGGTCCTATAAAAGCCATAGAACAAAGTGTGGAAGATAAGAGATGGAAGTTTGTTACAACGGATTATGATGCTCATAAGTGTTTTATTGTGTCTGCCTCTCAAGGGTGGGGACACTTAATGAT